TATTCCTGCAGGATAGCTATTCATCAGAGGTAGACATGCTGTTGAAGTTGAACACATGTCATATTATATATGCGAAAATATGTGGAATATTTTCCTGTTTTCGGATTTTAAGAAGATATAATGCTTCATTTTATATAAAGTTTACGTAACGGCTTTCCCTCCGCTTCCTTATCTATGTGAAGAGGAGTGGTACTAACTATAGCAGTGACATTTTGAGTCGAGGAAGAATAGAAATAAAAATATATATCTTTAAAAACTGTACGGACACCCGTATGTTTTACTCTGGAAAACAAAGGACGATGGCTGAAAATGATTGATTAGAAATTAAATATTTGCAATTACAAGAATCAGTTAGAACACGAAAAAGTTATTCAGGTAATATTTTTAGGTGGTCTTAAACACATAACACATTTCTCAATTTAAATTTACAATCTTGTATATCAGCCTATATCATTATCAATATCAGCCAAAAAGATATGACCCTCAAAGTTTCTCAAGATTGATAGAATTTGAAAATCCGTCATAAAGTCTCAGCTGCCCGTTATTATACAGTGAATAACGTAATGCATTTTTATCTTATAGCCAGGGGACAGCCGTTTGTGAAGAATCAAAATATCTGGGTCTAATAGTTTGTGGCTACCATGACAAGACGCGAAGAATGCGATACATATCTCACATATCTCCTGTGCGAGTAATGGCAATTGCAAATTAATTACATCTGTCTTAGCTGTCACCACGTCTATAAGATTTTTTGTAAAAATATCTGGATTTCCCAAAATTGCGTCATCTGATCGTCTACATTTTCCACTTTAATCTATTTCAGAGCAACCAACAATGCTTGTCTCAGTTTAATCTGCGATCACTGAGATTTGATATATCGATGAATAAATTAGTGGTCTTGATTTATCTCAGAGCTGTAAACCACCGTTTAAAATTTTTCCTTCACTGCCTAGTCTAAGAAGGATGATCATGATCAAAACAATCAAGATATACTCTCGTACCATCACACAAACGTCACTACTGATTATTTTGGCGTTTTGCTCATGATGATCGACTATAGCATTGGTGGTCACCAGGTCACCAGTCACTGTAAACGTGTCCCTAGTTTGAGCTCACGGCGACCTAATGGCGACTGCTGGATTAACTGGCCGTGAAAATGGGATGGCTTCTTCGGAGCACTAGAGCTGATAATAATGGTTAACGACATCACGGCTGTTGCAGAAATATACCTGTTTGCTTCAGGGACACTCAGGGACAGGTTACATAACTGCTAAGCTGGGAGCTGTACTGTCACAGAAATATACCTGTTTGCTTCAGGGACAGGTTACATAACTGCTAAGCTGGGAGCTGTACTGTCACAGAAATAGACCTGTTTGCTTCAGGGACAGGTTACATAACTGCTAAGCTGGGAGCTGTACTGTCACAGAAATATACCTGTTTGCTTCAGGGACAGGTTACATAACTGCTAAGCTGGGAGCTGTACTGTCACAGAAATATACCTGTTTGCTTCAGGGACAGGTTACATAACAGCTAAGCTGGGAGCTATACTGTCACAGAAATAGACCTGTTTGCTTCAGGGACAGGTTACATAACCGCTAAGCTGGGAGCTGTACTGTCACAGAAATAGACCTGTTTGCTTCAGGGACAGATTACATAACCGCTAAGCTGGGAGCTATACTGTCACAGAAATAGACCTGTTTGCTTCAGGGACAGATTACATAACCGCTAAGCTGGGAGCTATACTGTCACAGAAATATACCTGTTTGCTTCAGGGACAGGTTACATAACTGCTAAGCTGGGAGCTGTACTGTCACAGAAATAGACCTGTTTGCTTCAGGGACAGGTTACATAACTGCTAAGCTGGGAGCTGTACTGTCACAGAAATATACCTGTTTGCTTCAGGGACACTCAGGGACAGGTTACATAACTGCTAAGCTGGGAGCTGTACTGTCACAGAAATAGACCTGTTTGCTTCAGGGACAGGTTACATAACTGCTAAGCTGGGAGCTGTACTGTCACAGAAATAGACCTGTTTGCTTCAGGGACAGGTTACATAACTGCTAAGCTGGGAGCTGTACTGTCACAGAAATAGACCTGTTTGCTTCAGGGACAGGTTACATAACTGCTAAGCTGGGAGCTGTACTGTCACAGAAATATACCTGTTTGCTTCAGGGACAGGTTACATAACTGCTAAGCTGGGAGCTGTACTGTCACAGAAATATACCTGTTTGCTTCAGGGACACTCAGGGACAGGTTACATAACTGCTAAGCTGGGAGCTGTACTGTCACAGAAATAGACCTGTTTGCTTCAGGGACACTCAGGGACAGGTTACATAACTGCTAAGCTGGGAGCTGTACTGTCACAGAAATAGACCTGTTTGCTTCAGGGACAGGTTACATAACTGCTAAGCTGGGAGCTGTACTGTCACAGAAATATACCTGTTTGCTTCAGGGACAGGTTACATAACTGCTAAGCTGGGAGCTGTACTGTCACAGAAATATACCTGTTTGCTTCAGGGACACTCAGGGACAGGTTACATAACTGCTAAGCTGGGAGCTGTACTGTCACAGAAATAGACCTGTTTGCTTCAGGGACACTCAGGGACAGGTTACATAACTGCTAAGCTGGGAGCTGTACTGTCACAGAAATAGACCTGTTTGCTTCAGGGACAGGTTACATAACTGCTAAGCTGGGAGCTATACTGTCACAGAAATAGACCTGTTTGCTTCAGGGACAGGTTACATAACTGCTAAGCTGGGAGCTGTACTGTCACAGAAATATACCTGTTTGTTTCAGGGACAGGTTACATAACTGCTAAGCTGGGAGCTGTACTGTCACAGAAATAGACCTGTTTGCTTCAGGGACAGGTTACATAACTGCTAAGCTGGGAGCTATACTGTCACAGAAATAGACCTGTTTGCTTCAGGGACAGGTTACATAACTGCTAAGCTGGGAGCTATACTATCACAGAAATAGACCTGTTTGCTTCAGGGACAGATTACATAACCGCTAAGCTGGGAGCTATACTGTCACAGAAATAGACCTGTTTGCTTCAGGGACAGGTTACATAACCGCTAAGCTGGGAGCTGTACTGTCACAGAAATAGACCTGTTTGCTTCAGGGACAGGTTACATAACTGCTAAGCTGGGAGCTATACTGTCACAGAAATAGACCTGTTTGCTTCAGGGACAGGTTACATAACTGCTAAGCTGGGAGCTGTACTGTCACAGAAATAGACCTGTTTGCTTCAGGGACAGGTTACATAACTGCTAAGCTGGGAGCTGTACTGTCACAGAAATAGACCTGTTTGCTTCAGGGACAGGTTACATAACTGCTAAGCTGGGAGCTATACTATCACAGAAATATACCTGTTTGCTTCAGGGACAGGTTACATAACTGCTAAGCTGGGAGCTGTACTGTCACAGAAATAGACCTGTTTGCTTCAGGGACAGGTTACATAACTGCTAAGCTGGGAGCTGTACTGTCACAGAAATAGACCTGTTTGCTTCAGGGACAGATTACATAACTGCTAAGCTGGGAGCTGTACTGTCACAGAAATAGACCTGTTTGCTTCAGGGACAGGTTACATAACTGCTAAGCTGGGAGCTGTACTGTCACAGAAATAGACCTGTTTGCTTCAGGGACAGGTTACATAACTGCTAAGCTGGGAGCTATACTGTCACAGAAATAGACCTGTTTGCTTCAGGGACAGGTTACATAACTGCTAAGCTGGGAGCTGTACTGTCACAGAAATATACCTGTTTGCTTCAGGGACAGGTTACATAACTGCTAAGCTGGGAGCTGTACTGTCACAGAAATAGACCTGTTTGCTTCAGGGACAGGTTACATAACTGCTAAGCTGGGAGCTGTACTGTCACAGAAATAGACCTGTTTGCTTCAGGGACAGATTACATAACTGCTAAGCTGGGAGCTGTACTGTCACAGAAATAGACCTGTTTGCTTCAGGGACAGGTTACATAACTGCTAAGCTGGGAGCTGTACTGTCACAGAAATATACCTGTTTGCTTCAGGGACAGGTTACATAACTGCTAAGCTGGGAGCTGTACTGTCACAGAAATAGACCTGTTTGCTTCAGGGACAGGTTACATAACTGATAAGCTGGGAGCTGTACTGTCACAGAAATAGACCTGTTTGCTTCAGGGACAGGTTACATAACTGCTAAGCTGGGAGCTGTACTGTCACAGAAATAGACCTGTTTGCTTCAGGGACACTCAGGGACAGGTTACATAACAGCTAAGCTGGGAGCTGTACTGTCACAGAAATAGACCTGTTTGCTTCAGGGACAGGTTACATAACTGCTAAGCTGGGAGCTGTACTGTCACAGAAATAGACCTGTTTGCTTCAGGGACACTCAGGGACAGGTTACATAACAGCTAAGCTGGGAGCTGTACTGTCACAGAAATAGACCTGTTTGCTTCAGGGACACTCAGGGACAGGTTACATAACAGCTAAGCTGGGAGCTGTACTATCACTGTGAGTTATACCCCTCCATCAGCGCTGGAGCCTCGTGAGACTAATCCAGATATCCAGGCTTAGCATTTGAGTGGTATCTGAAGTCTATAATCGCCGAATAGCGTTAAGGAATTTACATGTTTTTCACTCATCCGTTACTGCATGCTTTCTATTTAAAATAGCTAATTACGTTTATAGCTTGATGTCATAACAGTGATTCTCGTACCTGCTCGCAAAACATCACAAGGCTTTGAAACATGATTAATTACAAAGTTTTTCCGTCATCAATTGCTCGCACAACATTAAACTTGGCTTCCTTGTTTACGTTAACGATTTCCTAGCGCAACAATATCTGTGATATTCGGCTGTATTTTTAGCTTCCCTGTCATCGGATAGCTTTGTATGGGTTTTAGCGAATATTGAAACTTGCACGATTAGCACTTTGGTGCGTTGTTATTGCGTCAGCTAGCGGAAATCTTGACGCGTGATAACGAGTATATAAGAGCTGGAATCCGAAACCATCCTCACTTCCAAACCGACCAAACAGTTAATGTTTTGAATTATTTGAGTATTTGCTAACATATTTTATTTATTCGTTTGTTTTTTGTTATTTGAATTTGATTACCTACCACTTGAAGAACTGAACTATGATGCAGAAATCTATGGTAAGTTGTCATTACTATTAAGTTAACTTAAATTTCCATTAATTTTAAAAACAAGTCCTTATTTTAATACTAATAAATCCGGTGTTCATGGATAAGTCCATGGTATATGCTATTTCCCCATGTAGTCAAGGATCTGACGACATTCCCGTCTATATAACTTCCGCCCCGGGGTTTGAGACTTGGAATACCTCAAGGGACCCATTAGAAACAAATTTGGCTTGGGTAGAAATTTTGGCTATGGTGCAGTTTTGCGCAATTGACCACGCCCTTTTTTGGCGCTTTTGCAACTTTAGAATCAAAATAACTCCGCTTCTAATTGGAATTAGAAGCTCAGCTTGGCTTTAAAGTTGTTCAGAATCATCACATTTAGGGGGGTAGAGCATAATTTTAAAGTCAACAGACATCGGGTTGTTGAGTTATGTGACCACACCCTTATTTACCCTCGCGAGTCGTGATTTTCACACTAAATACGAGATATCTCGGCTTCTGATTGAGCTATGTGCTCATCCTGGGCATTAAAATGTTCAGAATCATCACATTGAGTAGGGTAGAGCACAATTTCAAAGTCCTCAGATGTCAGGTTGTTGAGTTATTAGGCCCCAACCTGTTTTTACGCTCTCGCGGGTAGCGATTGCAGCGCTTAAAATCAAAATAACTCAGCTTCCAATTGAAGTTAGGAGCAAAACTCGGGCAGCAAAATGTTCACAATCATCACATTGAGTGGGGTAGAACGTAGTTTCAAAGTCCTCAGACGTCAGGTTGTTGAGTTATTAGGCCCCGCCCAAATGTTTACGCTCTCGCGAGTCCCGATTCGACCCTTAAAATCAAAATAACTCTGCTTCTGATTAGGGTTAGGAACTAAACTTGGGCATAAAAATGTTCAGAATCAAACCATTGAGTGGGGTAGAACGTAGTTTCAAAGTCCTCAGACGTCAGGTTGTTGAGTTATTAGGCCCACACCATAGTATTTACGCTCTCGCGAGTCGCGAGTGGACACTTAAAATCAAAATAACTCGGCTTCTGATTAGAGTTAGGAACTAAACTTGGGCATAAAAATGTTCAGAATCATCTTATTGAGTGGGGTAGAACGTAGTTTCAAAGTCCTCAGACGTCAGGTTGTTGAGTTATTAGGCCCACACCATAGTATTTACGCTCTCGCAAGTCGCGAGTGGACACTTAAAATCAAAATAACTGGGCTTCTGATTAGAGTTAGGAACAAAACTTGGGCATGGAAATGTTCAGAATTATCACATTGAGTGGGGTAGAACGTGGTTTCAAAGTCTTCAGACGTCAGGTTGTTGAGTTATTAGGCGAAACCTTGTTTTTACGCTCTCGCGAGTCGCGAGTCGACACTTAAAATCAAAATAACTCGGCTCCTGATTAGAGTTAGGAACAAAAGTTGGGCATGGAAATGTTCAGAATTATCATATTAAGTGGGGTAGAACGTGGTTTCAAAGTCTTTAGACGTCAGGTTGTTGAGTTATTAGGCCCCAACCTGTTTTTACGCTCTCGCGGATAGCGATTGCAGCGCTTAAAATCAAAATAACTCATCTTCCAATTGAAGTTAGGAGCAAAACTTGGGCAGCAAAATGTTCACAATCATCACATTGAGTGGGGTAGAACGTAGTTTCAAAGTCTTCAGACGTCAGGTTGTTGAGTTATTAGGTCCCATCTTATTTGTATGCTCAGGCGAGTCGTGAGTCGACGCTTAAAATTAAAATAACTCTGCCTCTGATTGGAGTTAGCAAGTCAACTTGAACATACAAATTTTTAGGATTATTGAATTGAGTGGAGTAGAGCGTGGGTTCAAAGTCATAAGGGATCAGGCAGTTCAGGCTGTTGAGTCACTAATACTTCTATTTATGATCTCATGTATCGAGTTCTAATACTTCTATTTATGATCTCATGCATTGAGTTCTATTTTTCTATTTATGTTTGACGAACTTACGTCGACCTTATACGATAAATAATGTGATTATTCTTTCTTGTTCCTGGCCAAGATGAATTGCTCACAACTGCGATGGTAAAAGTAGTTTGAAAATTAAATTAATAACCAGAAAAAGTAAGTTTCGCCCAAAGCAAACAGTGAATACACTCTAAATCCCGTACAACCACACTCTTTCCCACTCAATGTGATAATTCTGACCATTTTTAATTTTTTATGTCCACGTTTAGTTCCTAACTCCAATCAGAAGCCTAGTTATTTTGATTTAAGTGTCGACTTGCGACTCGCGAGAGCGTAAAAATAGGGTTCCGCCTAATAACTCAACAACCTGACGTCTGAAGACTTTGAAACTACGTTCTACCCCACTTAACATGATAATTCTGAACATTTCCATGCCCAATTTTTGTTCCTAACTCTAATCAGAAGCCGAGTTATTTTGATTTTAAGTGTCCACTCGCGAGAGCATAAAAATAGGGTTCCGCCTAATAACTCAACAACCTGACGCCTGAGAACTTTGAAACCACGTTCTACCCCACTCAATGTGATAATTTTGAACATTTCCATCCCCAACTTTTGTTCCTAACTCTAATCAGAAGCCGAGTTATTTTGATTTCAAGTGTCCACTCGCGACTCGGGAGAGCGTAAATAATATGGTGTGGGCCTAATAACTCAACAACCTGACGTCTGAGGACTTTAAAACTACGTTCTACCCCACTCAATGTGATGATTCTGAACATTTTTATGCACAATTTTAGTTCCTAACTCTAATCAGAAGCAGATTTATATTGATTTTAAGCGTCGAATCGGGACTCGCGAGAGCGTAAACATTTGGGCGGGGCCTAATAACTCAACAACCTGACGTCTGAGGACTTTGAAACTACGTTCTACCCCACTCAATGTGATGATTGTGAACATTTTGCTGCCCGAGTTTTGCTCCTAACTTCAATTGGAAGCTGAGTTATTTTGATTTTAAGCGCTGCAATCGCTACCCGCGAGAGCGTAAAAACAGGTTGGGGCCTAATAACTCAACAACCTGACATCTGAGGACTTTGAAATTGTGCTCTACCCTACTCAATGTGATGATTCTGAACATTTTAATGCCCAGGATGAGCACGTAGCTCAATCAGAAGCCGAGATATCTCGTATTTAGTGTGAAAATCACGACTCGCAAGGGTAAATAAGGGTGTGGTCACATAACTCAACAACCCGATGTCTGTTGACTTTAAAATTATGCTCTACCCCCCTAAATGTGATGATTCTGAACAACTTTAAAGCCAAGCTGAGCTTCTAATTCCAATTAGAAGCGGAGTTATTTTGATTCTAAAGTTGCAAAAGCGCCAAAAAAGGGCGTGGTCAATTGCGCAAAACTGCACCATAGCCAAAATTTCTACCCAAGCCAAATTTGTTTCTAATGGGTCCCTTGAGGTATTCCAAGTCTCAAACCCCGGGGCGGAAGTTATATAGACGGGAATGTCGTCAGATCCATGACTAATGTCCTTTGGTCACCAAAGCACTCACAATGAAGGAATAATTTTTCACAGCTAAGTTTGGTATTTTTAAGTCTAGAGGTTATTATAACCCTGCCCTTAGTCCCAGCTCCTATATAATATACTGCCCACCAGTCACTAACTAATGTCACAGCCTTTTGATGATAGATCTTCAGTTAATGTTTAATAGCCATCTTTAGTCATGTTATTCATATGAGCAGTCTAGTAAAGTAGTAACTAGTGCTCGTTCCACACAGGGCCTGTCACAACTATATTACAGGGTTCATAGTCACATTATCATTATCAGCAACTTCCATGTTGCTTAGTAAGCGAAGTCGCACAACTCAAAGGGACTATAAGAACCGGACTTAACTTACGGCAGATACCAATAAAATACACAGTAGTTATTCATTTTACCGACATGGCCCGAAAACTTAACTTTTACTACAGTGTTGTTTTAGACCGAGCAATGAGCATAACTTTTATTTTTAAGGCTGCCATCTAATTCCTGAAATGTTATGTTCTTCAGCATCAAGTATTCTGTATTCTTTACTCATGATTAAGTATAGTAATATCCTCAATGATATCTTTAATGACGATGACTAGGCAGCCAGTCTAGGCTGGATAAAAGTCATGACTGTACCGTATCGTAATTTATCGGTTATAAATCATAATAAAGAAATACTGATTTTGCAAGCTCTGCAAGATGCCTTATATTATATATTATATTATTAATAATATTATATTTATTATATTATGGTCAGGTAGGGTAGTAACAAAGTGATAACTTAACAAAATACCTGTACTAAACCTGAGATACCCTTACTCTATATTGCGCTGTGCAGTCCAACCGATTTCTACAGTGAATGTGTCTGCTTTGTAAATTTCTGTGCTGTCGTGAACTATTATTATCAGTCTCTATATTATTGTTTTGGGGCCGCAATTCGCGACTTAGTTGCTTTGAGTCTCATCTAAGTGAATTGTTTACTAGTCAAACGTTTGCTGGCCTCTTCAAGCTATCATACTTGTGTTAGACAACCGCATACTTATCAAATTATAGATATATATCTCTACTGACAGTTATAATTGTCATTTTGAAGAATTGCAACTTATTTTGGAGAATTGCAACTCATTTTTATATTGATACATGACGGTCAGGTCCCTTGGAGACTTTACCTTTTCAACCTTCAATCTGTGATTGAAACTGGAAACAATTTGTAAAATTGTCTGCGTTTTTTGGAATCATCGATAAAAATAATCAGAAAACAATGATGTTTATTATTGATTAGCGGATCATTCGGTATCAAGATACAAACTGGTCTGAAACCTGTAATTCAATAAGTCTGTGGATGTTTTAGAATCGGCTATATTTAAAAGATCTGGCTGATATAAAGATAAGTTAAACAACCCTCATTCTTATCATTCGTCCATTTCTCTAATAATGTAATGCATTATCGTTTACAAGTCAGTGTTCATTAAATACCCTGTGTTTCTCATAAAGGCCAATAAAGGTGTTTATTATTTGAGTAGGTATTAAGGAATCATTTTTCTCGAGAGGCTTCGCGAAGGAATGAATTGTTTTGTAAAAATGTTTAGTTTTGCAATATAACATTCTGACGGCTTCGAATATTCATTAATCGTGCAAATTTGTTCATGTTTTTCTGACAATTAAAGTAATACCTCAAGTTTAAAGTTTTGACTGAGTCAAATAGACTCGCAACGCTACGTGTTTCTTCACTGGGGTCGTGATGAATCGCCAGCCATAGAGTCTTGACTCTTGAAGTTTAAAATTTTTGTCGCATTGTTGGACCCGGAATTAAAACTAGAAATTTCTCCCGTCATGATTTATTAGCTTAGTAATTATTAAAGTTTGAAGAAAAGGAATTTAGAACGATTATAAACCCAGTTCTAGTCTGGAACACATTCTAGCATATTCCTAACTGTTATATAAGTTGAACTGACCACAAACTGGTTCTTATCTTGATGTTTTTATTTCAGAATGCAATGATTACCCCGCTACTCTTCACCATATTGTTGATAACTCCCGTCACCCTCTCTTTGAAGATCAGATCCGCCGAGGCTGACCTCGAATCCAAACTTGAAGCTACTTTCGATGGTGAGTTTTGCAAAACATCGCAGAAAGAGGACATTGACTTACGAAATTGCGTTTCTAAAACCTAAATGTTCGTATATAACCGCTTTCTATTCTGATGCAATATATTTCTTGATGCTAACTCCAACATTTTCCAGCCCTAGTCGAACTGAACGACATCACCCTGTCTCCCGAAGAAAAAGAATACAGGCTCTCCATCTTCTCCATAAACTGCCTTGCCCAATCCTCCGGTGTTGTTAAAAAGATAAGGAAGCGCAGAGAAGAAGAGCTATGTCCTGATATCAGTATAGATAGTATCTACACCTCTGAAGATCTAAGTGTGATGAATGGTGCTATCATGGAACCTGTCACTCCTCCTCAAGTTCATCCCGAAACTAGCCGTATTAAACGAAATGTGAGTTTACTTTATATTAATCCTGTATTGTAGTCGGATTTTAGTAATTTTTTTGTTTTGGCTACGGCAAATCCATGATATTTTTATCGTTTTACAACAACAAGATACACTAAATTCTAGCTGCAGAGTTTGCAAAACATTGTCTTTGTCTCCTGATTATCAAATCAATGGATAAAAAAGATCGAATTTCTAATAGATCTGTTTCACAGTTCGGCGCCCCCATTTTTAAAATTACGTTCCGTAATTGTTTTATGATCTGGCACCACTTTAAAATTTGACTGATACTCGGTCAAGTCATCATTCTTTTAACAGACTGTTCAGCTCCAAGTTTCTCACCAAATCTCAACCCCGTAATCAGCAAATTATTTACAAATTTAACCTTGCTATGATCATAATCAGATTTTGATACTGACTTCACTTTTCAGGCTGAGGAGATACCGACTTCATACGATGTCCGAGACGAGCTTGAGGTCTCCAAACCTACTCACCAGAAGACTTGTGGAAACTGCTATATTCATACCTGTAAGTTTTAATGAATAAATTGAGTGATTTGATTATTGAATTGGACATTTCAATGGCTAAAAGTTAAAACGCTGAACGGTTTGATAATGATGTTTCCGATTTTGGCACAAACCCAACTTTACATAATTTACAAATTTCTAAGAAGCTGTTTGTATCATATCATGAGTATAAATAGCTCAGAATTTCACGGCTCATAAGCCAACGCTTGGGAATCAATTAGATCTGAACTTCTACTCGTATTTCAAATACTCGCCATCAACACCTGGACAAACAATTATAAAACTAATGGCTGGCACAGACTCGTGGGCAATTAAATATCGACTACCCAGTATTGTAGACAATAGATGTGTAATTTCTGGAGAGATCTTTGCATTCTAAATAGAATATATATCTTTAATTCAATATCTCAGTATGGTCACGTGGCCGAGCGGTCTAAGGCGCCAGTTTAAGGCACTGGTCCTCCGGGGCGTGGGTTCGAATCCCACCGTGGCCTTTTTTTTGTTACTGAAATTTGTTAATAAAATAATCTTTGATAAAACAAACTGTAGATATAGCCTTTATAAATTACTTCCACCTAACGGTTAAATGTAAAATATGCAGGATATGCAGCTGACACATGAACATATTAGATATGACTCCTTCATGTTTTAATCAGTACAAAATTCCTCATTATTTTGCAGAATGCTACAAGGTGACAGCGATTATAGTCTGTCAAAATGCTAAAATGCTGCATTTCTGTCTTCACCTTCTATTGTACCTTATTTTATATAACTCGGAAAAGTTCAAAATTTTGAATAATAAAATCTACACGTATGCGGTATGATCTTAAGATTGAGCTTTATTGACGTTTGAACTTTGAACACATTTACTACTCAATCGATAATTGTTAACAATATCTTACAATCTTCATTTCAATCGAATATTTCAAACTATCAAAGTCATCCAATACAACTGAACAATTAAATAAACCATTACCATCAAGATTAACCAGATATCAATCAATTACTGTCCAATTATCGTATAATTACCAATTATCTCTCTACAGTGGTATCCTCTCTGGAGATTGCTTACACCAAGAAAACCGGACAGTTTGTCCCCTTCTCCCGTCAGGAGCTTACAGACTGTTTCTACAGTGGCTGTAATGGTGGAGATTACCGAGTGGTGAGTCATTAACTAATTAACTAATTAACTAATTAACTAATTAACTAATTAACTAATTAACTAATTAACTTATTAACTTATTAACGTATTAACTTATTAACTTATTAACTAATTAACTAATTAACTTATTCCAACACTTCATTAGTAATAGTTTTAATATTTGCATAATAATAGTGTTTTCAATATACGATCAGTTTTTTAGCACCAGTTACCACAAAAGTTTTAACATGGCAGCTGTCCGAAATAGCATCTAAATGAGTCTGCATCTTAGCAGCTAAATACTTGAAAGTAGGAACTTTGGTGGCTTCTCATGCAAGGTTTCTTCACACGGGGCTTCTTATTGTTCCATTGAATTTCGTGACTGCATTTGTATTTGAATCACCGCCAATAATACCAGCAAGTGCCCCCATAACACCAAAATACCCATAAACCCGCACATCCGTCCCGTCTCTGTGTCTTCCCAATCATAGGTGTCAATTATTTGAAATACAAGAATATTTTCTAAGGGTTCCAGTTTAACTTGTCTGGCAACTGCCAGCCGCGAAACTGTAAATCAGGCGCCAGGTGCATAAAAACAGTTGCTAGCCGAACAAAATGATATCTAAAGATAACAATTTACAGTCACTATAACAAGAACCCTTTCAGCTTGCCAACATGATGTCAGTTCTGGATCACTTAGCTACACCTGCAGAGTACGGTCCTTATCTCTCTCAGTACACCAAGAAGAAGTTTGCTTGTAAAGCTGGTCTCACCCCAGACTCTCTCCTCGACATCAAGGTGCGTAAAAGATAGTGTTAACTGCTAGTACTATATTTAACCATGTTCTTGTAATCTTCCTACAAGTAACCTCCCAGTACCACTCTAAACATCTTACACTCAATACACTCTCAATAACATTACAATTGTTGGTGCGTAAAAGATTGTACTAACTGAGATATTTAACCATGTTCAAGTATTTACCTACAACTATTCTACCAACAACAACAACAACAGTACCACTCTAAAAGCATACCACACCTTACACTCAATAACATAACAATTGTTCAGGTTAGGGGATACACCCACGTGACCGCTGACACACTGGACGAGAACGTCTACAAGCACGGTTCTGTGATGACTTGTTTAGACTGGATTGGAGACGAGACCAACAACTGTGGTTCAGTTAATGATGTAGGAAAGGAGGTGTTTGATGGTGATACTGTGCCTTATGGTTGTAACCATGCTGTACTTATTGTTGGGTAAGTTTACTGAACTTTAGGTCACAAATTACATTTAACCAGATTATGATAAATTATCAGAGCAAATGAGTATAATTATCAGTATGGTCACGTGGCCGAGCGGTCTAAGGCGCCAGTTTAAGGCACTGGTCCTCCGGGGCGTGGGTTCGAATCCCACCGTGGCCTATTTTTTACCAAAAAAACATTTTATTCTCTCTTTTTTCACACTCGTTTATTCCAGATACACTCCCGATTACTACATAGTGAAGAACAGTCACGGTGTATCATGGGGAGACGAAGGATACTTCAAGATCAAGAGAGGACAAAATGCCTGTGGTATTGAAGACAACATGGCTGTGCTGATAACAGAGCCCAGAGAGTCCCCCAAAGTACTGGCTGCCAACAACTGCCCTGTTGATAAACCTACATACTGTGCTGAATCACAATCCTGCACCAGCAGTCCTACTTGCTTGGGAATTGACATGCACTCTAACCTTATCAGGTACTGACTAGTTCCACTCCTACACAATTATATTATACTCTGTTCCTTTATGCTTTAAATCATAAATTCAAGCTGTTTTGCATTTCCATATTTTAAAACTTGTCGATCCGGCACATGAAATAATAACTAAAATTATCTCAGGAACAAGCTAGCCAAAAGGTCTGCCGACCCCGGAGTGAAGATTTACAAATCCTCATCTTACCGTGGTCAGGTCCAGAGAGGAGGTATCCATGACGTCATCAGAAAGAAAATTGAAGAGAGGAGGAAGTTGATGGAAGCCAGGAGGACCTCTAACAAAGGAGGATCTAACAATGGTGCTAGAGATGCCAGCTTCTCCCAAACTACATTCCACAGAGGCAATCTAGCTGTCAGATACCAGCAGTCCAACACTGCAAGGGACCTCAAATCATTCCAGTTCCTGTCCCACAACCAGAAGTGTAGGGACCAGGCTGGAGAATGGAAGTGTGCCTTGTTGAAAAGGAGGGGTATGTGTACCACTCACTTGGCTACTAAAGAGGTGGAATGTAGGAAGACTTGTGAACTATGCTGGGAAAAAGAACAAAAAACGTAAGTGCAACAAATTTCCAATATGAAAATCTCCGATATAAAAATTTCCAATATGAAAATTTCCAATATGTTATGTTATATTTAGTGCAAACTGCTGATTTAAAATATTTGAATGAAAACAACAAGCCCCCTCCAAATATTAACTGACTATTAACTTCAGTGAAGAGTGTACAGATGTATCAGAGAGCTGTGCCCAACTGTCCCTCCCTCTGTGTGATATCCTGTACAGAGTACGACGTAACTGCCCCTCAAGATGCAACACATGTCATCTCGTTAACCCTGAGTAAGTCTGCTAAATGTTTTAGCCCGGTTTAAACATTGTGATTTTACTGGAAATATTCGGACGCTTTGTGGGGGCAAACATTGTTGTTTATACAGCTTTTGCACCTTTCTAAAAGCTTAGTTCTGTAAGTAGGTTTTCAAATTCCATACAAATGCATATACAACTGCTGCTATTCGCAAATTTATGGCATCTGGTCCCTGTGCATATTTCAATGGCTATACCATACTAACGACTGTGAACTAGCACTGCTATGCTCTTTCCAGTCCCTAACCCTCACTGTCCTATGAGAAAACTAGTAATATTTAAAAATAACGCATATAACTGACAGCTGATTCACTTACTAGTCTCCCAGTCACATTGACATGTTTAACACAAATTATTGCATAAAACGTAAGTTTAACCGTCGCTGACATGAGTAAAATGTCCTATTTTGAGTACCGTGGACCTATCATAACATTAGCGTACTTAGTAGAAATACCTGACAATATGGGAATGGAGAATGTAATCCTGTCTAAACTGTCTAAACTGTCACGGGGGCTACGTAGCATCAGCTTACAATACTAAGCACATACTGGCACGTGATAGTATTAAAATATAAGTTGTAAATATTAAAATAGTCTCATTAGTTTAGCTCTGTAACATAACGGAGGCATATCTGTGAAAAATAAAATTTGGCGCAAATTCTAACATAAATTTAACGCAATCGCTTCCTGAAACTAAACCTAAGCTCTTTCAGAAAGTTTGAATCTGCAGTAAACTGGATGCCAAGACAGCCCGCTGGGCCCTGCAACACCCCCTACATTCCTAATGGGCAGGCTGTGGTGCCAGGGAACAGAAGATACTTGCAGCACGGGGAGACACTGCAAGTCCAATGTGACGAAGGGTTTACTCTGACAGGTGAGATTCAACTTTTTAGACGTCTGTTTATTGTCCCTTTTATTTGTGCGGGCTCTGATCTTTTACTTACTTTTATGAATCTGCAATTATTAGAGGATCTCCCTGTAAGAATAGTATAAATAACACGTACTTACAAATTGTAGCATTATTTTTAGACAATCTTAGAGATTGGACTAGTATAGTCTAAAACAAGAGAATCTGTAGTATTCTAGTTACATTTACCAGCGTCTAACCAGTATCCCTTTATCAGGTGAAGAAGTGCAGTGTGTTGTACAGGATGTTTACTATCCTGATTCTAGAGTTTTACCGGAATGTGTAAAGGTAAGATTCATACCTTAGTTACATTAATATTCACTATTTTACTACCAATCCTGATTACACTAAAACTATTAAACTAGGTTTTGAATCAACCAAGCTCACTGACTCCAACCAGCCAATGTTTCATAAGATAGTATAATGATATCTCTCAACACTAAACCCCATTACTTTGCAACACCTCTCTAAACTACACCCACTTCAGATAGAAGACACAGTTCTAGAAGGTACCGGAGCTAACTACGCGGGGTCCCGGAACGTGTCCGCAGCTGGTAAACCCTGTCTCAGTTGGAACAGGGAGATATACCGGGGATCAGTGTTCGTTAACCGAGCTAATCTGGGGGAGCTGGAGAACGGGAACCATCACTTCTGTAGGAATACCGGAGGAAGTAAATCAGTGCCGTACTGTTTGGTTGATACAGATGATCATGATGGTATCAACTCAAAGGGGGATGAGCTCACAAATCCAGATGGTAAGTTAAGTTAACTTATCCTTATGTTTACATTAACACCCACAATATCTTGTCATGATTGTATCACAGAAGTGTCCTCCCGTTTTAACTTATTAACTAAATCATTTTAATAGCAAATATTTAACGAACGTACTCCCACAGATACTATAGAGCCAAGAACAGAAATACAGTTCTGTTTCTCCGCTCCCGGATGTGACCGGTGTTCAGGAGACGTTGAAGATTACCTGGGTACAGAATACTGCTCTCAACTTGCTGGAGCCGGTATGTGCGAGTATAGCTCAGCAAACAGTGAAGATCAGCAGAGTCATATGTGGAGTAAGTGTGCTAAGAGTTGCTGTGAGGCTTCTCTGTGTAGCAGTGACACTAAGGCTTAGTTCAGTAGTTTATACTTATTTAAAGACGCTAGATTTCAGTATTATTTATTGTGTTGTTTATTTATTTATTTTGTTGCTGTTGTTGTTGTCGTGTTTGATGCGATGTATCATGTTTGAGTCAAATTGACGGTTACATTTTGTTTCAAGGAGGATTTTCTTGTATCCTTGTGTAAATTTAGAACTTTTGAATTTTATTCCATGACTGTGATCATTTTCCTGATGATATATATTCATGATCATATTATTGACATGATTGCATAATCAACATGATTAACATAAATAATGTTATCTTATCTGATTGTTAATTATTTTATCTAGTGATTGTTACACAGTAGCTTCTAATTTACAGAAGAACTGATATGGATTGAATAATTAACTTAAATTATGATTAGTTTCCACTAAACTAAATGGGACGAAATTTCATGCATGCCCATCACTATTGTGATTTTCAATGATTGATTTATTTGAAAATACTTGAAAATACTCGTTTGTTTAACTTTCTGTTCCCATGCAAAACAACCCGTTTTGCAAAAAACAAAACAGACAAATTTCTAAATACACCAGAAAATAATACCACTTTTCAATTCACCAAGTTGAGATCATTCAAACTGAAATAATCTTGAAACTCAAACAGCCTGATAATCTAGTTGATTCCACCACAAAGGTTACAACTGAGTTTGCACCACTGATAGGCCCACCAGGTAGTACAGGGGGCTTTGCACCAGCCCTGGGCAGCAGCAACACCACAGACTGAGGGGTCCTCGTAGTCCACACAGGGGCAATCGTCACCTGGGGTGGGAGATGTTTTCACTTTCAAGCTAGTCTCAGTCACGTGTTTACTTTCTAGTCTTAGTCACGTGTTCACTTTCTTAGTCATCTTGAATTTCTCATTTGGTCCGATATCGGCGACGCAGATAAAATTGTAAATTAGATTTTAAATGATGTAATTGATGATAAATCGGGTGACACATAGTATATTCTGATAATTCAGGTAATCCCAGGAAACCTTACTAATACTGGCCAGGGCCTAACTTCAAAAGTAAAAGAGATAGCGAATTCCGGTTTTTTGCAAAATGTTCGTCTTGTATAAATAACGTTTCCTCCCCAGGAGGAAAATTAGGGACATTGTAGATTTTGAGTTATCCCAAAATCTCCAGAAAAGTTTTATTTTGGGCCGATCAAAAGTTTGCAACTTTAACTTTGTGGATTTCTGTACTCTGATTGGCTGAATTGTGTCACGTGCTAGCTGCTTGAACATTGGAATGTTTCACGCGTGCAGTAAACCTTAGCGCGAGCATGAACTCGCTGTGAAGACGCGACCACCTCTGGCTCTAGTAACACAGCCAACCAGTAAGGTTTGCTGGGATGTAGTAAAGTAAAGTTTACTCACCAGTACAGGGAGGTTCGTTAGCCAGCTCGCTTACACAGTACCCACAAGTTTTAGCACAGTTCTGTGTAGCCCAGAAAGTGGTACACGGCTTGTTACAGAAACCGTTAGCTTTTGTCACTCTGCACACCGCCTGGGAGGAACAGAGTTTAATTTAACTAACTAACTAATACTATACTCTACAGTCTACTTACTATACTCTACTTACTATACTCTACTTACTATTCACACCGCCTGGGAGGAACAGAGTTTAATTTAACTAACTAACTAATACTATACTCTACAGTCTACTTACTATACTCTACTTACTATACTATACTTACTATTCACACCGCCTGGGAGGAACAGAGTTTAATTTAACTAACTAACTACTTACTATACTCTACAGTCTACTTACTATACTCTACTTACTATTCACACCGCCTGGGAGGAACAGAGTTTAATTTAACTAACTAACTAATACTATACTCTACAGTCTACTTACTATACTCTACTTACTATTCACACCGCCTGGGAGGAACAGAGTTTAATTTAACTAACTAACTAATACTATACTCTACAGTCTACTTACTATACTCTACTTACTATACTCTACTTACTATTCACACCGCCTGGGAGGAACAGAGTTTAATTTAACTAACTAACTAATACTATACTCTACAGTCTACTTACTATACTCTACTTACTATACTCTACTTACTATTCACACCGCCTGGGAGGAACAGAGTTTAATTTAACTAATACTTTACTTTCTAATACTATACTCTACAGTCTACTTACTATACTCTACTTACTATACTCTACTTACTATACACACCGCCTGGGAGGAACAGAGTTTAATTTAACTAATACTTTACTTTCTAATACTATACTCTACAGTCTACTTACTATACTCTACTTACTATACTATACTTACTATTCACACCGCCTGGGAGGAACAGAGTTTAATTTAACTAACTAACTAATACTATACTCTACAGTCTACTTACTATACTCTACTTACTATACTCTACTTACTATTCACACCGCCTGGGAGGAACAGAGTTTAATTTAACTAATACATTACTTTCTAATACTATACTCTACAGTCTACTTACTATACTCTACTTACTATACTCTACTTACTATACACACCGCCTGGGAGGAACAGAGTTTAATTTAACTAATAGTTAATTCTTTCGCACTTTCAAAACACATATTCTTAGGCTCGACTGTAATGCGTAAATGTACGTTTAAATCGTGAATGTACACAAAACATGTATTACTTTTAGTTACTATACATCAAGGTTGCCTTTTTAACTACTTTAAATATCTGACAGTGCTCAATGCGAGGTTTCTCTATAAGCTATATACTTATTACTTATTTTATTTACTTCACCTTGCAGTATTGTTAAGGGTTATTAGTATTAATGTTCATGTTTCGATTGTTTGCACTTAGCTTATCCTTACTCCTAACAACACATATTTAAACGCACAAACTAACTAAGATATTCGGCAAACAGTAAGAAAAATAATACGGTTATTAATATTAATATTAAAACAATGAAACCTCTGATTCTACATCAGCACATCCCCACACGCCAGCCAGAATAACACACGCAAGGAGGAATTGTCTCTGAAAAGTTGTTCGTTAGATTAATTGAAACGCAAAAGAGTGAAGTTTTATTGTATTTAGTTTAAATATAGAAATGTTTGATTTAAAATTCTGCGTGACAACTGTCATTTTATTGACACATTTCTATAAGTTAGCAATCAATGTGCTAGAGGCTAAAGGAAAGTTAATACAAAGTGTCCTACCATATTTTCTGAAATATATCAACTGTGTAGATGTACGATTCGTAACCCGAAAGGAAATAAGCCATGACCCTCAGTTCAGTTCTTATAAGGCTGGCTGTTTTAAGAAGTACCGTTTTGTGGTTGTTACTAAAAGTGACGCTAAACAGGTTTACTTTGCACGGCTATTATCTCTAAGACCTGTTAAACGAGTCAGCCTCCCCTAAATTAAGTTGAGTTAAGCGTCACTCATCTCCTAAACTAAAACACCTGGCAGGTGCCACTGATTTCTGTTCTGATGAGAAACTTTGTTGTTCAAGTTGTTGAAGAAAACATTGAGCAAGGTGACAAATTTAACAGAAGATCGCTCAGCTTTCTTCGAACACCTGTGTTCCTCTTTCCTTTACGTTTACTGTTACCCAGGCATGATATTTATTTACACAGTTTACAAAATGACATATGGATATGTTCATTTGAAGTTGAAGTTGAGGATATTGGTACAATATTAGCATGAACCCTATTAAAAGGCACGGTGTAGTCAAACTATGTAAACAGGGTGATTAGATATCGCCTAAATTCGGCCGGTACGGAATTGATTATATTTACAATTGCACACTTTAAACTTGTGACGGAGTTGATGTGGCTCCTGCTGCTGTGTTTGACCAAATTTACGAATTTCCAGTTAATAGAATTTGACCAAAACCCATAATCATGGGTAGAGTGAACCGCTGCCAGTGTCTCTCTTTTTCAAACAAAAGGAAATGATATTAATTTGAGGAACCGTCCGCAAATGCAAATTGATACCGAGAATGAAATCGGTCGCTCGCTTTTCCCATTCAATAAGCTTTATTACAATTCGTAAGCCGTGAATGAATGGGAAAAGCGAGCGACCGATTTCATTCTCGGTATCAATTTGCATTTGCGGACGGTTCCTCAAATTAATATTATTTCCTTTTGTTTGAAAAAAAGAGACACTGGCAGCGGTTCACTCTACCCATGATTATGGGTTTTGGTCAAATATCATCTCTTTTTGATTATAATGTCAGGATAATTTACACAGTCGAAACTTCATTAATAAGGAGGTAATTTCAACAATTTTGAAATTTCACCTTTGAAAACGTTTCCTTGTGTTCAGGTAGGTTTATCTGTCGATAACAGACTGAATATAGCACTTTTTACTCATTCAAGTTGGCATTTAATTCATATATAATGCCATTTAAATATCGTGGGAAAGCAGAATATATTCGAAATCACGAATGAGCAAAATTCTCACCTTTCGCACATGCAAACTTTGAGCGGACGTTGCGTGCGCATACAATATTGAATCACCATAAATTGTTGCATAGTGGTATTTAATATATAGTTTGATAAGCATGCAAAGTTTCAGAAGATTTCAAAAAGAACTTGGATCACAACGGGACTCCAAAGTTGATAAAAATTGTGAAAATAACAATTTTCAGTGATTTTAGCTATTTTAAATCAATTTGGGCGTGTCCCCACGTGTGCAACTTTTCGATTTTTAACTTTAAAACTAGCCTATAACACAATTTAGACCTTTAAGAAGTAAAATTGAGCTCCACAACCCAACAGATGGCCCAACACCAGAGAATACTAATTCACAACTTTTGTGTTTTTATAAAATTATTCTTCAAAAAAGCACTAACTTCAATAGCGAATATTTTAATGAAGGAGTAAGGTAAGAAACTTTTCCGGTAGATTTTCAGAATGCTTGAACGATTATCTAAGATGAAAATGTCCTCAGATTTTGAATAAAATTACTCCTTAATGGTGTAAAATCGATTTGAAAAGTTGTTATTTTGTCAAAAATCAAGTTTTAAAAACACTTAAATTGATGACGTCATCAAGTGACGATGATGACGATAAATTATTTTTCAATATAAAGTAAACTAAAGTATAAACGATTATCTTTAAAACCTGTGGTTCGAAATGACTGTATCTTTTATACTTTTGAATCTACGGACACTTAAATGTAGGCTACAATTGACTGCAAAAAGCGTCTATACATATCACCTTAATAACACCAGAATGTGTGTGTGTGTGTGTGTCTGTCTGTCTGTCTGTCCGTGTGTAATTTCCGGTCGGTTATACAAAAAAAACGGTAAGAGTTACGGGACTGATTTTTTCGGTATAGTGTCGACAAAACTCTGATGAAGCCCATAGGAAATTTTTTTTAAAATCGGCCGATGGTAAGTGGTTTAATTGATGGTTTTGTACCACAAATGTTACATAAAATTGCGTGAGCAGAACGGCAAGAGTTACGGGACTTGCTCTCTCTCTCTCATTACTGTGTAATATGTTATAGCTGCATTTAAGTAGCGTCATAATTGGATTAGCCTGGAAGATTTGCTGTAATGTTATACCTTAAGCTTATTAGGGGAGGGGGGACTGTTAGTGTTTGGGGTCTGTTTGGACTGCAGAGAGAGAGAGAGAGAGAGAGTTCATACGACAATGTTATGCGTGTTTTCAAATATAATATGCGGGTGTGGTGCGGAGTTAACAAGGGTTAATTTCTATAACGATTTAAATAAAAATAGAAAGCGGTTCAAGACGGGAGTGATGAGGTGTAATAATCGGTGTTCAGACCTTATGATCATGGAGTGTGGTGCCTCATGGCTAATAATGACTTAATTATCCACAAGAAATAACTGATTATGAGATTATTGTTTAAGAAACTATTGGGTCACCTAATGCGGGTTTTGACTCTGCGGGTAATTACTCCTACCCTTTTTAACTGCGGCAGTGAAATCCCGGCCGTAGGCCGGGTTACACTAGTATAGTATATACATATACTAGTGTAACCCGGCCTACGGCCGGGATTTCACTGCCGCAGTTAAAAAGGGTAGGAGTAATTACCCGCTGAGTCAAAACCCGGATTAGGCGAGCAATTCTATTCGGAGTGCCCTCACGTATCCAATAGTATGCTTAAAAGATAGTAATTCTTAATCAATAATCAATAGAAATTAACCCTTAACACCATGCACCACACCAGCCTATCATATTTGTGAACATGCATTACATTGTCGTATGAAAGTATGAACTCTCTCTACAGTCCAAACAGACCGTTTGAGCACTCCCTCCCCTAATAAGTTTATAGTATTATATGACCATGTAATATATACGCCATGTAATATATACGCTACATATGCAGAGAGAGAGAGAGCTAGCCCCGTAACTCTTGCCGTTCTTCTCAAGCCATTTTATGTAACATATTTTGTGGTACAAAACCATCAATTAAACCACTTACCACCGGCCGATTTTTATAAAATTTGCTTATTGGCTTCGTCAGAGTTTTGTCGGCACTATACCGAAAAAACCAGTCCCGTAACTATTACCGTTTTTTTTGTATAACCGTTCGGAAATTACACACAGACACACACACAGACACACACACAGACACACACACATTCTGGTGTTATTAAGTTGATACCTTATCGGACCTTATTTGGACGGACATTACTTGAACGCTGGAGGCCCTAGCGTTCATCTTAATGTCCGTTCAAATAAAGTCCGTTCAATTAATGTCCGTCCAAGTTAAAGTCCGTTGAAATTTTTTCAAAAATTTTTCCATTTCGAACTTTTTGTGCAGAATATGACAACTTTGAGAACTTTATTGTTCCGTAAGTTAACGATGGAAAGGTTCTCCTTGGTCTGCCGGAGGCACAGAAAACTCTAGTTCTACTAGTATATGATATTTTCAAGGGTCACTTGGCGGAAAAAAGTCAACGAAATTATGGCACTCAACAACATAGTTCATGAACTAGTCCCCGACAAACTTGTTCCAGCCTCTAGATATTACGGTAAATCGGGTTTTCAAGGACATTGTCCGATGTTGTTATAGTTCTTATTACTCGGGGGCGGTAATGAAACAGTGCTAGGAAAGCTCCACGTGATGTTAAGGTTAACCTTAAGTTGTCTAAGATAAAACCACTTCACGCCGAATGGCTTGTAAAAGTTAACACTGAAATGCAGGACCGGGGTAGTTTGATAAAAAAGGTTTCCATAAAGCTAGAAATCACTGATGCTTAATTAAGCATGGACTATTTCATGCACGAAAACCCATTTGATGAAGATGATATGTGATATTAGACACTGATCATGTACACATATTTTAACATTTTTACTGCTCAATGACTGCTTTTCTTACTAACTGTATAAAAAATGGATTTAAAAATCATTTGCTGAAATTTAAAAAACGTCAAAAAAATTGAAAAAAATTCGGATTTTTGATGGTTTTGAATGCCTTCGAGCGTTCATATTAATGTCCGTTCATAATTATGTCCGTTCATGTAATGTCCGTCCAAATAAGGTCCGATAAGGTATGCTTCACGACAATCTGTTGTAAAACAGGGGTTCCAGAAAACCCACTTCCCGATACTCCTGAAACATGAAATTTTTTTTACAGTCGATTTGGACAAGGTCTAGACGCCCTGCAACGTTTCAGATCTCTGACTCAATTTTAATATGGTTTTTAAGGCACCTGAATATGGCGATTTTGGGTTTTTTACCTAATTTCGTATAACATGCTGGCGCGTATTTTGCGCAAATTTCTTAAAAACCTCCACATAACTATTTCTTATTCCTGTCATCTTTAACATTGAATTAGAATGTTTTGAACTTAAATATACCTGCTGAATTACTTTCGATGAGTCTTAATGCCTGGAAAACAATAAAGGGGATATAATAGTATAGGGGGTAAATAGTGTTGTGAATATAAGGGCAACGGTTATGCTTGCCAGCATTGTGATAGTTAGTACTAGTACTCCAGTAGCAGGGAGGTGTTTTGTGTGCACTTCGCTGTATAGAGTTTTTTGCTACTGATTCGGGTTAAATAGGTCATTGGTAACTCAAATCACCGAGGGAGGAATTTTGTGTCGCTAGCCCCAATACAACCCTGTGCAGAGCCACGCCCATATTTCATATCAGACGCGTATATGGAAAAATTCGTATCTCAGCTTCTGAAGGGCTTAGAGACTTAAACTTGGGCTTAAAATGACCGCAATATGCATATTTATATTAGCACTATGATTATGAAGGTACTGAAGCGTTTAGGGACTTAGTTTTTGAGAAAAATGAAAAAAAATTAATTTTCAC